ATTTTACTGAAAAATACTGATGAAAGGCACAAAAAAATGTAAATTTACATTTTCTTAAGGACTCTCAAGCTTTTGGAAGTCCCCTAACTTTGGGGGCCATTAAGCTTATTTTACCTCTGAAAATAGGCAACCCCACATCCTTTAACCCCAAATATCTCGACATCTATAAAAAAAAAAGTGAGATAATCTTTTCATCAAAAGCAAGAGAAATTAACAGACTTTAAGATGATATGTATAACTCAAAATTCCCCAAAATTGACCAGTGCTTGACTCCACTGTGTTGTGACACATTTGATCTAGCGTGTGGTGACCAGTAGCATTACCCAATCCTCCCCAGCCGAATCATGCACTTGACCAATGGGCAACTATTTTTGTCTTCTTCTGTCATACTGTGGCTGGTGAGCCGTTACTTCTCCTTTAAAAAATGGCACAATGCGCTGTCTGCAGCTAAAACTCACATCATGATGTGCCCAAGCACAATATTCCACATCATCTCAATAAAATGCCGACTTGTATTGAAACAGTGCTGTATATCTTACTTTTAAAAAAGAAAGATCTCTTGGGAGTAAATAGGGCCGAGGCCTATCTAAAGTGTTATTTTCAAAACAAAGTCGTATCTATTTTCTTACTCTAAGCTGAGAAAAGGGACCTGATTATATATAGAGTGTTCTACTAGAGATGGAAAAGTTTGCCATGTCTAAAGAGCTTGACTTTTAACAAAAATATTTTGCTGCAAATTAAGTTTACATGGAAAGAAAAATTATGGAAAAAGGTCTGAATTTATGAAAGTTTGCTTAGGTTAAGGATTCAATAAAAGATTCAATAAAGCAATTTCATCTTTTATTGATGGTTTATTAATTAATATATTACAAGAAATAGCTAACTGTTAATGGTAAAAAGTAAAATTGTTCCCATATATATTTTTATTTCTGAGAGGGTAAACTTTAGCCCTCCATTCAGCGCTTGATCAAGTTCGCACATCTGTGGTGTCCACTCTTTGTGGGTGACTTTTGTGACGTCATTCACTAGAGACACTATTAAATTATTTTAAGAAAGGGAGGCCAATATTTACATTACCGCTAAGAGATCACTGGTTAGAATCTTTGCTATCATTTATTAAGTAAGAATACAGTTTTAGTACTGAGAGCCCTAAAAAGAGAGACTTCAGCTTCAATGTTAAGCTAATCTTAACCTGAGACAGCTGTAGCTTGTTACTAAATACTTTTCTTTTGTTTCTTTTTGTGTCCTCTTGCATAGCCAGATACTGCGTTTAAACAAATAAAAGCTGAACGATGCTAACCATCAGAGAGCTAGACAGCTCAACAAAAGTAACTTACCACTCAATCCAAGCCAGAAGTATTGTGGTTTTGTTCCAGAGTTTCTTGCATTCCTCATGTAAGGCTTGATTTTGTTATGGATTGTAGCCCTGAAAAAAGAAAGAATACCAAAAACCTAAGACATCTAAAAAGATTCCAATGTTGTTTAAATAATAGTTTATTCAACAAAACCCTCACAGGTGGAGCGCTGCCTATCAATTATATAATATAAGTTGATCTTGCTTGTACACGTCACGGCGTCACTTTTCGCCCGATTCTGTTACTTTCAGTTTGCGTGACTCAGCAGCCCGCCGGAGCTCCCCGGCTCGGGGTCACGGGGTTAATGAGCCCTGAAGCGACTTTGCCGCTGTCGGTCAGGAAGTTCACATTTTTGACTATGTTTAAAACGATATAACTTCTTCCCCATCCCACATAGCAAACCATTACGCGGATGTACTAAAAGCTCAATGTCTTGAGATTTATTCTGCGTTAGAATGGTTAGTTTCTGTGCCTTAGATTTTGCTATAGACAAGTGTTTGTAGAGTACCCAATTTGTCCTATTTTAGTTACAAACTTATGAATAAATGATTGTTAATTTAAAAAAGGCACGACAGATCTCTCCAAAATCTGTGTTAAACTGACTACGAATATCATGTCTTTTACCATGAGAAATCTTAAATCTGCGGTAGTAGTAATAGTCAAGTTATGAGAGAAGAAAGATGCACATCTGCATTTTTTAACTAAAAACGATCAGCGTTAGCTCTTATTTTACTATTAAACAAGAGAAAGTTACTCTGCGTTTGTTCATGAATCATGCTGTGTCTGTGGCAGCCTGAATACAACTAAAAAGATATAATATAGAATCTAAGCGATTAAAAAAACCACAAAACCGTGTAAATATATGGGTAGAGATAAACTTCTTGTATGGAATAAAAATAATGACAGCTGAAACATTCATTCTTAGTTTTTGTGTAGGAAATATGCGCGAACACAATTATGAATGTAAAGAAATTTAGTCACATTGTCAGTTCTTGCAAATGGTCATAGAAACGAAAAAAAAGCTGGAAAAGTCTGGTGCTGATTCAGTGTCCCTGGAAAGCTAGAAATTATTCTTATAACCCAATTACGAGAAGTCATCCTTATTATTCAGTCAACTTACAAAACCTAAACTTAGCGTTTTAAGGAAAGTAAGGAATTTCTGGAATGTAACGGATACTGTTCGTGTATTAGATCTACGTTGAAGATATATTCTAGCACTAAAATCGATTTGTACTTTTCATAGAGAAACTTCATGGTAACTTTTATAAACTTTCGAGAAAATATGCGAATATTCACGATTATATTAGACACATAAAGTTGTATTTGGAGGAATTACTTCATAGCAAATTGTGTGCCCGATGGATAAAATTGTAAAATTACAGCCTTCTATTATAAGCGCAGATACCATCTTTTCTGAGTATCTGCACCAATGTTATGTTGTTCGTGTTCCAAAAGTTCGACAAATTTTGACGATGCCTTTTTTTTATATTGATTTTTTTTCATTCACGCTAGTCCAAAAAAAATTACAATTTTACATTGCCGACTCCAGCGCGTCTAACAAAATAACCAGACAAGTTACAACATCCGTTCTTTTTTGAGTCTCAAGAGCAGAAATGCGTGCTTTGGATGCACTAAATGAGAATTACCATAAATACAAGGATACACCTTCAATTGTACGTTGAAAAGTACCAAAAATTAGGTCGGCCCAGACAGAGCGGCGACAGGGAGCTGACCCCCGTGATCCCGACATGATAAGGCGCCTGGCGGGGAACCCCCCGCGGCAACTAAAATTCCACTGCCGGTGCGCCGTGACGTAGGCCTACTGTGTTTTTAAAGAGTGATCATCTTACCCCACCAGGGTGATCAACTTACCCCGATCATGGGGCAAGTTGAGCATTTTAACAGCAGTACAGAGATGTGATATAATGCAAAGAGATTTATGTTGAAATTAATTTTGACAGAACATTTTCATCACTTAATGTTTTAATGAATTTGTAAAAAAAAAATCCAGAAAAATGTTTAAAATATTGGCTCTGCAACCAGTCATGTAAAAACTTGCTCAACTTACCCCAGTCTCCCCAGAAAACACTGGGTGAGAAACGAACAGTAAACATAGAAATGCGTGCTCATATTATATGACCTTATGCAGTTGTGAGTGCAGTAAAACCCTTAGTCCTACTAAATTAACTATAAATCATAGAAAGAGCATGCTGTAGTTCTGCCAAAAGCTGACAAAACGCCTTTTCTTATTTACTGCAGTTTTGAGAAAAAGAGATTTTTTGTCAGCATAACCATTTTTTTAAAAATAGCGCTCTTCCGATATTTAAATTCTATTTTTTTTCAAAGGCTAGTCACAGTTCCCCTTTGATTTTTTTTCTGCACAAGTAGGAAACTGATCAGGTTGTCAATTTAGCAAACAAACAAATTTAGGAGGCAAAATAAAAAAAGGTATTTTGTCAGCTTACGGCCGAGTTACGTTACTATTATCAATGTTTTTCAAAATGAGACTGTTAAAGCATACACTGAGAAGACATAATGGTAAAGGTAAACTTGAGCCCTTGATTCAGAATTTACTCGACTTAGTAAACACATCTAGGGTCTCCACTCACCTGGGGCCACATTTTGGTCACCTTGATGTCATATGAGGAAGACGATTTTCATTTATATTCTTAAAATGATTGAAGGGAGGGGTGTCAAAATAATATACTTTTACCAATACACCTTCACACTACTTGAAAAAACTCTGAACTAAGGTTAAAGGTGAGAGGAAGGAAAACAATAAATGTACAGAACAAAAAACTAGCTAAAGTGACAAGATAAAAAAAAATGTAAAACAAATACAATTGTTGGACTTATTAGGAATTAAAAAACACAACCCAAAACCCTGATCAAAAACACTGAAAAAGTGATGAATCTGATTTGTGTGGGTTTTTTTTATAGTGTTAACAGACAAATAAATCAATCTCATAATCGGTCCTGTCTAAATAGAACTTTCAGAGAAGAAATTCATAAGGCTAAAATATATATTATTGTTAAACGTCAGCCTCCTCGCTTTGCTTCTCTGCTCACTTCTGTTTCACTAACCCAGCCTCTCAGGGAGTGGGGGGGGGGGGGGATAGATAAAGGCTGGAATTGCACTTTCTGCAGATGTAAGAATCTTTAATTTGTGCCACAGAACAAACTAACACGACTTGAGGGAGCATTTTTACACCACTGGAACTGTCTGTCTTTCCAATCCAGAGGCCATCTGAGTTCTTCCTATACTTGACAATCTATGTTGTAAAATCTGTAAAAGTAAAGTTCCACATTCCGAACTGAAAGACCCCTCTCTCCACCCCCCCCCCCCCCCCCCCCCCGGGCAGTGCTCTTGACTGATCGAGTGTCTTTAGGCCATTCCTAAAGGGGGGAGGGATATTAATATGTTCTTATGCACAGCAGAATTGAAAATGGGCTGATTTATCAGTGTCATGCTCATACTTTGCCAGAACAACATAGGGGGAACTGCTTTTTCTTTCCTCATCCTTCCTATCGTCATTTTCCTTTACTTCTTTTGTTGTTTATCACTCTCTTGTGAACTGCTATTTCTGGGGTGCCTTGATAATCGAAGCAAACTTTGAGCTGTTGAGGCTAGACAGATGAACAGAGTAAGCTTGATTCCCAGTTCAGATTTCTCTGTTGACATCCACGCCTTGGTGCTCATATGACTTTATGCAGTTGCGAGCGGCGTAAAACCTTACTAAAAAAAAAAAAAGGACAGCAACTGGGGTCCTTTTGTGAGCAATAAAATCTACCACTTACGAAGTGTCTGTTGCCAGGTATCCACCTTGTTGTTTGCAGAAGTTCACAGCGCCATTGTAAGTCTTCCTCTGACTTGAAAAGAGTTTAAAACACTGAGCTGAAGTTCCAGAGCCTGCCGTGATCCATCCTCGGGGACATCTGGCCTCTGAAGAAAATAAAATGTACTCAGTTGGAGGCGAAAGTCAAACCTACTCTAATAACCGACTGTCCAAGACAAGCACCTGTACAAACCACTACTTCCCACTCTCCACCCCCCTCCCCCCCCCCCCCCCCCCTACAATATCACTCTGGCACTGAGTAAATAAACAGCTGACGCACTGGCTTATTAATGACAATAAACAATAACAAAAAACTCTTGGAGGAAGAGAGAGAGAGAGAGAGAGAGAGAGAGAGAGAGAGAGAGAGAGAGAGAGAGAGAGAGAGAGAGAGAGAGAGAGAGAGAGAGAGAGAGAGTTAATTGACACTTTCAAGGGACATAATAATGTCAGTCTTAACAATAATTTTGTTTTAACTCGGTTATATCCCTTGTCTATCAGTAATTAACGCTAAAATCTGCCATGAGGTCACGGGAGGCATTTTCTCCAGAAGAAGAAAGTTCGAAATGGCAAAACAGGTTTGGAAGAGTTTTTTTTTTCTTTTTTCTTTCTTTCCGGCCACTTGAGTGTCACACGCGATGACTCAGCTCTTGCAGTCGCAGAGTTGAGAGTTCAGAATCAAAGTAGCCTACCTGCCTATTTTTAAAGAAAATTTTAATACAAATTAATGTTTCCCTGTCATTTCACAAAACCGAGTGTAAATAATAGGCCTAGGCCTACTTCATAAGAACAAGCCGTGCGCGCTAATCTGAACACACATCAAAACCAAGACAGATATGAGTTGAGCTTCAAAGTAAATTCACAAGTAGGCCTTTAACTAAATGTGCCTACAATAATGCACAAAGTGGGCTGAGAAGTAGATCTAGATCTAGATCTAGGTCTAATTCCTGTTGTTCAGCCATAATTATTTCATGCTTTCAACACGTTCAGCACAAAATTAAATGGCGCTCCTATCGAAAGCTCAGAATCTCAGCTAGAATCTATACGTTGCTCACTTAAATTATTGCTTTGCTAGAGGCCTACATAGTGTCCTTTGAGATCCATACAGACTGGAAAACGCCGGACAAGTTGACGTATCTCGTCAGAGAAGAAATCAGCAGAGTTTTGTCTTGCCAACACCACAACCGAACGTGGGCTTCTACTGTGCACTGTGCATCTAACTTCTAATTGCGCATCATCTCATCAAAGTTCTGACTCCCTTTCAGACTAAAATTCAGCCACTCCTTTAGCCGAGGGGAAACGTAAAAGTCCGAAGGAACGAGAAGGCTACCGAGCTGTCTGACCGATGATGCGGCAGGATGGAGAGGTCCACAGAGTGTTTCATTGTACCTTCAGTCTGTCGACTTACGTGTGTGTGTGTGTGTGTGTGTGTGTGTGTGTGCGCGCGCGCGCGCGCGTGTGTGTGTGTGTGTGTGTGTGTGTGTGTGTGTGTGTGTGTGTGTGTGTGTGTGTGTGTGTGTGTGTGTGTGTGTGTGTGTGGAAAGGGGGCGGGGGCGGGGCGGAGTTGATCATTATAATAATAATAATAATAATAATAATAATAATAATAATAATAATAATGATAGTAGAAAACAATATTCATATACCTCAAATCCCGCTCCACACCAAGATTAAATAGTACGACCCAAACAGATCAAAGAACACTCAGATACATTCCTGGCTTCTCGGGAAATATACATATACAATGCAAGTAACCAATTAAGCGCTCAAAAGTGATCAAACTGACAATACGATTCTTTCGCTGTCTAATACCCATGCAGCGGAGTATCCATCCCACTGGGATGAAGTGAGGAACATTCGTGTAAGTACCTTTCCCAAGGAAACAATGTCGGGCCCCTGACAGGGTTCGAACTCACGACCTTTCGATTGTCAGCCCAACAGCCTAACCACTAGACCAGTGTCACGCTTTTTTATTGTTCTCATCTTTAGTAAAGAGATGCACATCGGCACAATGATGGCATTTTATGATTTAATAGTGCTGGGAAAAAGTAAGACAGACAGACAGAAACAACAGACGGAAAGAAAAGAAGCTAGAGGATTTACCATTGACACCCACCATGAGGTCAAAAACTCTGTGGGAAGTCCTGCTCTCATCCAGTTCAATTTATCTGGAATTGTCTCTTTAGTTTTTCATACACTGACCACGTCACCAACGAGGAAGTGCACAGTGGAGTGAAACAACACAATCAGTCACTATTTAGACGTGCTCTCTGGCTGTGAGGTGAAGACTACTGAAATGGTATGGCCAAGTAACAAGATCGTGCGGCCTATCCGTTCCTCACGGTACTATGCAGGGGAGGAGAAGGTGATAGAGGCAAAGGGAGATCGAGGTGGACCAATAGCATTGCGGAGTGGACTGTGGAATTCCTTCCTCAAACACAGGTGCTCGAAAAAAACAAACAACAACAACAAAAACAAAAAACCACGTGAAAAGTGGAGGCACCTGACGTGGTTCTCTGTCGTACATCGTCCCTACGATCCTCGTGGATTATGACATCATTGAACAGTGTCTCCCACAACATTTTTAGGAATACAAATTGGATGTAAAAATGAAAAAAAACTCACTTTAAAAGGTTTCTTATGAAATGCCATCGATCTCGATGGTTAATCTGTATTCATGGCACTCTTAATATTATGTTAATGAGATGTGCATAATATGGTCATTGATCGTGCTGTGATAGTATGGGTGTATGCTTATGATCGAGTTAGCATGAATCTAGAGTGTGTGCTATAAGCATGTTCATTAACTTTGTGTGCATTGTGTTGAAATGAAAGTATTGTAAAGCTTCTGGAGCTATATTGTAGCTTATGGGAGTGGGTGCTATGGCAACTATCTGCATTAATATTATCCTTGTTATATAATTATATACCTATAATACAGGGAGTGGGTTATTTCCTCGTGCCTGCATGTCAAGACCAACCAGAGAGGGAGACAGGTAGTACCCTAGCTGAGCTATGGCCTATGAAGGGGCGCGAACTACAGTCCAGAGTACTGAGGAAGTGGGCGTTAAGTAGTAATAGTCAAATCAGAGACTTTTAATCAATACAATCTTCTCTGGGTAAGACAATACGGTTTTTGACCACTGGTCAGTGCAGCCGACCCCCCGGATGAGAGACAATCGGATTTTGGATAACGTCCGCTCCTATCTGATTGTGTTCTAGATGTACCAGTCCGTGACATGTAAACGGCTCAAGGAACCTGGACCCGGACTGCTGATAACATTAACGCCCGCTTGTCGCTAATCGTCCTTTGACTTTGACAACAAAATCGTACAGGACTATAATAATAGGCCTGCGTTGTTACTTGGTTGCATAACACTACGATCTTGGCTTATTCACTTAGGCCCATGATTAATTAGAATTTATCTATCATCACTTAATATTGCTAGCGTGGGGTCAGACAGGAGATACAGCATAAACGACCAACTGAGCTGGCTCGAATTTTCCTTTCTTTTGGCTAAATTAGTAGTCTAGTCCCCTTACTGTCCTATCGTATTTTTAATAGACAATCTCTTGTTTAAATCTGGCTTCTAATAACAAGCATAACAATCTATAATTATAATGATATTATACTTTTTTCTCCCGAAGAAGGGAAAGAAAAGTACTCAGCTTTTCACTCTCCGGCATAATATTTAAATAGTTCTCTGTAGTTTTCTTAAAAATGGGGTTTCGCGTTAAGTCACAATGAGAAGTTTTTCATGCTTTGTGATTGTGATTGTTAACGCTCCCATAGACACGCCTTATAAAATTAATATTTTTGAAGTCGAAGCCTGAACCGACTGGGACGGAGTATCCAAAAAGAAAAAAAAAGTCAAACTAAAAAAACAAACTTTCCCACCCGGGAATCGAACTCGCGTCTTTACAGACCATGAAGAGCATGACTCTTATACCACGCACGCAAGAAGAAGAAGAAAAGAAAAAGAAACGAAAAAAAAGAAAGAAAAACCTAGACTCTCCCGACTTTTCATAAAACGTTTCAATACTTCCACGTCAGTTTACTTATGACTTCAGTGAACTCCCTGCATCATTTTTAATGCGGACCGCCGCCACAGGCTGGTGACAACCGATTTTTTTTTTCTTAATTTTGTTTGGTAAGTCCTTTATATAGTGTTTTACGGCGCGCACAACTGTATAAGATCATATTATAAGCGCACGGGACACATTAAATATTTTCAGTTTGGTAGGAATTTATTTTGAATTTTTCCTGGGTGACGGCTGAAGCCTACGCCTTATCGATTTTAGGACTATCAAGCGATCTTCATCGTGCTCACAGGACCTCCGAGATTTTTAGACCTTATCCGTGAAGGTTATAGGTCTTAGATCTTTCCTAAATGCCATAAAATCAGGGGTGTGGCTGAAAGACAGCAGTCAAGGAGTAGCAGTAGAAAGGCAACAGAAAGAGTCAAGAGTCCAGAGGAGGGGGCAAAGGGGAGGTGGGGGAGGGGGCCGAAAGTGGAGACGAAAGCAGACAACAGATCATGGTTAGAGAGAAAGAAAGAAGGTGAGATGAGAACATTTTAGAGAAGAAAAAGTTCGTCTATGCCAGGTTTCGCACCCGGGAGCTGTTGAATCAGAGGCGAACACCGTAACCCCCAGACCACGTACGAGAGCCCCCCCCTCCCCCAACCCCCCATCCCGATCATGTTTAATGCGGAACGTCGTCACAAGCTAGTCCCAACACGGTCAATGTGGTATATCTGTACTCTCTCAAAGAAGGGTAAATGTACCCCCCCCCCTATTCTTTAAATGAGA